AATGGATTTATTACTTCACTCCGGAATCAAATCGGTAGTAATCTGAGTGGACAGCACCTGAAGAAAGCCGTCCAAAGCAGATCAAACCGTTGGAAAGGTTATGGCCTCTGAATTTTGGAACCCACAAAGTATTTTTTTATTGACTATTTAAAACATGCAGAAACAAACACAAGCGACTTCTAGATTGGTTTATTGGAGCTGGTGATTTAATTTTTATTTGGTTTTAAGTTAGGGTCCTCCTGATTTTTAATTAAAATAATCTCTGAAGCGTTTATTATATTTAAAATTCTTCGTAAATATTTTTTACTTGCTAACGATACTAATTAGTGTAACTAGCAAAGTTTTTCTTTCATAATCTATTTAAAATGAATATTTACATAAAGCCGACGATATTTCCACAGTAAATCCTTTTTAATTGGCGTAAAAAAATAATTCGATATATTATAATAATTGCTTTGCTGAAAATATTATATAGTTTAAAACAGATCCTAATATTACAAGTTTTTACTTATTTCTATTTATATTGTAATAAATATTAAATTTATATTAACCAACACTATTCAAGTGCAAATATTTTGGTATAAATTAGGCTAGCTGATTTAACCGATATTCTAAAGAACCATATATTCAATTTTTTACATGCTAAAACCAATACTATATTTTTCTCCGTATCAAATCCTTAATAACCACCTTCAATTTAAAATCATCATCTAAGTCAACATTTAGTAATAATTGCTCCTACCTACTTTTATCCCATCCAAGTACAGACATTTCTTAGATAATGCAAAAAAATCTATCTGATATTGTCTCCCGTAGACAACAAACGTGGTTTTCGCGTTCTCTTAAGTTAGTTGTCATAGACAACGGACGTGTTTTCTCCCTCTCTGATTTTGGTGCCCGTATGCTTTTTAGATCTCTCTTAATTTGATTCCGTAAAATATAGATAGAATAGAAGACAGTGTTTATGCTAAAGGAAACTTTTAGGCAGGGTGCATAGATATCAGTACTTAGGTTGCGAACTAAATGAAGAATGGGATATAAGTACGGAAATAAAACTGTACGAAAAAATATTGTAGTAACACCGAATGCTGCCCCAATATGTCCAAACTCTGTTATTAAATACTTGCCAAACAACGTTGAGGATGCACGGCTAGTAGCGCTGACCCGCAGGTAAAAAGTCACAAGAACAGTAGATGAGATTTTCTAGATATAAAGGTTGGTAGTTGGTAGGAGGTTTATGGGGAAGCTCTTAACTCCGACACAGCGTGCTCCAGTGGCCAATAGGATATGTCCTATATATATCTGAAGATGGTACACAGACTTGCATAGGAACACGTACATCATACTCAGTGGGCAAATTACAGACAGCTGCATTATAATTCACTCATTATATGGTAATATTTGCGCTGCTACTATTGCACGAGGTAGTAACAACATCGTGTAATAGTGTTGGCGAACTCTGTGGGATTATAGCGTTAGTGCAGGACAAGTGTGCTGTTTTGACTGACAGAGATTCTCCAAACTCAAGGCAACTCTTGATAAATTGACAAATAGACAAAAAAAAACAATACAGAAAAAAGTAAAAAAAAGATCTAACTCTCTTCTGAGCCTAGATATAGAAACAACAGGAACTAACAGAAAAGTGATTTTGGGCGTGCACACCAAATATGAAGAACAAGATTCAGCTACAGCAAAAATATTTGCTGGAGCATAAAGTAAAGAAAATCCTTACAAAGACAGAGAGGTAAAATGGGTAAAATCGAGGATGAAAAAACCTGAGAGAGTAGTGTTGCTCAAGAACCCAGGAGCCCTAACGAGGATACATGTTATACAGAGACATCACAGTATTCAAGTATCCAAGGAGAATAAGAGGTGACTTCGAGAGACTACCACAGCTCTACTGTAACAAAAATTCTCCAAAATGTGCAGAATAGGCAGTAAGTAACGTCACATATCGCCTCTACGATTAAGAATGCTGAGAGGCTATGTATTTAACACGCTATTATACGGTGTAGAGGCCTGGACTCTCAAACAGAACAACATGAAAAATGTTGAAAGTTTCGAGATGTGGTGCTACCGTCGAATGCTGAAGATTAGTTGGGTTGAAAGAATAACAAACTGTGAAGTAATACGAAGAATAGGAAAAGACCCAGAGATTTTTGTTAACGCTAAAGCGAAGAAAACTCGAATATTTTGGTCACCTGATAAGAGGACATAAATACGCATTACTTCAAAATATAATGCAGGGAAAAATAGAAGGAAAACGAAATCCAGGCCGTAGAAGAATGTCATGGTTTCAGAATTTGAGAGAGTGGTTTGGCTGCACAATGAACTCTTTAGGTCAGCCGTAAACAAGGTCAGAATAGCCGTGATGATTTAAAATCTCCGATAGGAGTGGCACAAAAAGAAGAAGAAGAACGTCACAAAATATTCAAGATGACAATAGTACATGTACGCGATATTGACACTCCACCAGATCAGACTCAAGCAGACCTGAAGGTTAACAAACTGGAACAAATAAGTAGGGATAAGATTCAACGCATGATTCAACTCTGTCACCGAGTAAACCAAAAAATTTACTGTGTATGTAACTAAAACTATGTAGGGCCTATGGAAGATTATCTTTTTATGTTTAATCTTGTTGTTTATAATCTTGTTGTTTATACCAAAAATTTATAAAGTAAAACTTGTAATACTTGAATCTTTCTTATCAATTAAGTTTGCGGATTGTTAGTAAACTACGTTTTGTTAGATACACCAAAAATCAAAAAACTACCAAAAACTGCTTCGCGGAAAACTCAATAAAATAATACAAACAAAATAAATCAGTGCCTTCGCAAAATGGAACTCACGTTGTGTTGGTACTAAACTATTCGGTTTCCTGTTTAAAAAGTGTTTAAAGTAAAATACAGTTGAAATAAATAAAAAACGAGCTATAGTTAGGTACCAAAAACAAATAAAATAGTTAAAGGAGATTAATTAAATATAATTATATTAAAAATTAATGCATTATTGGCTTATATTTTGTTAACAACATTCAATTAAATAATATGATACTGATAGCAAACAAGAATAAAAGATAGAATCACGAAATACAACAATGGAGACCATAGTTAGGAAAGAGAAGCAGAGAAAGACTACAAATGAGATGGGCTGATGATATTAAGAAGATTGGTGGCAAGTGGCTCAAAATAGAAAACACTGGATTCATTTGGGGGAGGCCTATGTCCAAAGTTGGATTACTTAAAGCTGAAGAAGAAGAAGATGACGATCCAACATCGCAAGTAAAAACATAAGAAGAAACAAAAAAAAAAATAACACTACAAAAGGGGTTAGACAAGGAGATTCTATCTCACCCAAGTTATTTACTTTAGCTCTAGAAGATATGTTCTGAACTTTATAAAGGGGAAATAAAGGAGTGACGATAGATGGAGAAAACCTGGATCACCTGAGATTTGCCCTTCAGGTTACGTTAATACAGATAAGAATGGTAGAAAAAATACCCTTTCCACGTTATCGAGCCTTACATGAGCTGGTATGCTGGAGTATCTCCCAACAGTTTTCTTATGCACACGTTCGTCGTGAGCAGTATCTTAGTTTAGCTCATAGAGATTTTCAGTAAGATCCACATCTTTTCTGTTCCCCAAAAGGTTCTTTTAAAAGGCTACAGTAAAGGGGATAATGAATAATCTGGATAATTCCCATTCTTCATAGTCTTCTTATTTGCTTCTGGAGATATTTAAATTGACGATTTCTTTCATTCTATTTATAGAAGATACCTAGAAACATCATTTTCGCTCATACCCATTTTTTTTGGGAAACTATTCTCTATCCTTCAATTGTTGGATATAGGTCTCCCCCAGTTCTCTCCATCTTTCCCTATCTTGAGCTGTTCTCTGCCATGTGGGACCTCCTTGTTTCCTGATGTCATCTTTCCACTCATCTGTGGTCTGCCTCTTGATCTCTTTGAATTGTATGGACGCCACTTTCCGATGGCATTTGTTCCATCGTCCGTCTTGGAGACGTTTATTGTGTCCAGCCCATTTCCATTTCAGTTTTGCTGCTTGTTCTATCGCGTCTACGTCTTTGTTCTGGTTCTGATCCACTGGTTACGTTTTTTATCTCTAAGTGATACACACCAACATTTGTCTTTCCATCGCTCTTTGTGCCTTCCTTATCCTATCCAATTGGCCTGTGTACATGTCCATGTCTGTGCTCCGTAGGTGAGCACCGGTATTATGCAGGAGTTATATATCTTGCTTCGTAAGTATAGAGGGATTGTTTGATTTTTTAAAACGTAAGAAAGTTTGCCGAACGCTGCCCATCCCATTCTTACTTCGTCTCGATATTTCGGCTGTTTGATTTTCTCTGTTAGCTCTGATTGCTTGTCCTAGATACATATACTCATTTACCTGTTCTATTTTTTCGGTTTTTATTTTTTATTGCCTCTTGGTCTTCCGTGTTTGTCATTACTTTTTGTTTTGTTGAAGTTAATTTTTAGGCCTTTTTGCAGTGATTTTTCATGAAGTTTATTCAGCATTAATTCCAGTTCTTGTCGTTCGAGGAGATCAGGAGTATATCATCCGCATATCTAAGGTGATTTAGGTATTTTCCGTTAATACATATTCCTCTGTTTTCCCAATCTGTTGATTTTTTATGTCTTCGAGGGTCAGGTAAACAGTTTAGGTGAAATTATATCGCCTTGTCGGACTCCTCGTTTAACTTTTATATTATTCGTTATTAATTTGTCGTCCAGAATTACGGTCATGGTTGCGTTTTGGTAAATATCATACCCTTAAAGTTTTGTAAATAAAAATTAGTAACTCCAATTATTAAGTAAATAGTTGAAATTTTTAGGAACATAAGATGGCAGATAAATATGACAACAGAATTGATTAAACCAGTTTCCTAAAGACATTTATTTATTACCAATGCATTCATTTTTAATTTAAAACATTTTTTTAATACAACCAGTTATAGTTTTTTGAAGAGATACTTACGTGCATTCGTAATCATTCCAGAGATCAACACACTCGAATGGATCAGGACAGATGACATTTGCACAGGGTTTGTTAGATGGGCAATCCTTTTCTAAATTCCTGGCCATAGTCGCCTGTCCCCACTGTGTTCCGTTCATAGCTGGCGGAAGAGGTAGGTGTTTGCCTTCCAAACGAATGTCATCCAAACATCCTGGAGAGTAAAAATATGTATTAATTTAAAAATCATCGTTGTAAATAATCATATAAGTGCCCTTGAAAGTAAAAGGTCTACCCAATAAAAATTTATATCAAAGTACCAGTCATTAGTACCATAGTGTAAGTACGTAATAAATTTATTATCTTATTTTTTGTAAAACACTGGGTATTTATTTTTAAATGTGAATTTTATTTTAAAAATGTCATTGTGCAAATAAAGATTTTAAATAACTAACACAACTCATCAATTTTTCTGATAGATGAGTCTTGCAGTAAATCCTTGACTATATTAGCTTTGTACGGCACAATTAAACTGTACACGTTCCTCATCGCAGATCTCTCCAAGTCTATGCATTCTAAACGATAATTGGACAATCATATGGCATTTTGAGATTACTAATACCTTATGTATATTTTAAATGAAATCTATATAAATAAGCGGTATTTATTCAACCTCCCTTCTTCTTCTTCTTTAAGTGCTATCTCCACGACGAAGGTTGTCAATCATCATGGCTATTCTGACCTTCAAAGCAGCTGCTCTAAACAATTTCTTGAGCTCAACCAAACCACTCTATCAGGTTCTTCAACCAGGAAGCGCATCTTCTTCCTACGCCTCTCCTATCTTCTATTTTTCCTCGAATTATGAGTCTCAAGATGTTGTATCTTTCGCCTCTCATCACATCTCGGAGATATTGCAATTTCCTCTCTTTTATTGTATTTTCCATTTCCCTCTCTCTGTCTATTCTCCTTAACACTTCTGTATTCGTGACTCTATTTACCCACGGAATCCTTAACAATCTTCCAAATGTTCACATTTTAAACGCGTTAAGTCGATTTGTTGTATTCCGGTTTAATGTGCATGACTCAGTTCCATAGTAGAATACACTGTGTACATAGCACTTAATTAGCTTTATTCTGAGGGCTAATGTCAGATCTTTGCTGCATAAAATCTTTTTCATTTTCACGAAGTTGGTACATGATTTTTCAATTTTGACTCTTATTTCTGCAGTATAATCGTTATTTTCTGTAATTATCGATCCCAAGTAAGTATATCTTTTACTCTCTCAATTTGCTGGCCGCCTATCGTTAATATTTCGTTTGTATTGTTGTTCTTGCTAATTTTCATGAACTCGGTTTTTTTTGATGTTAAGATTTTGTTAATTATTCTTTCTAAGTCTTCCAAGTTGTTGGCTACTATAACTGTTGTATTAACTACTATAGATGTTGTATTTTGTAGGTTTTTTTGAAGGTCGTAAGTTTTTCAATTTTTTCTGTTTTATCGGCGGTTGGCACATAAATCTGAATAAGGTTTAATTTCCCATGTGTTGTCATCATTTATATTAGCATAATTCTTTCCGATATTGGTATAAAGCCTAAAACTGATTTTACAACTTTTTTACCGACATTAATTGCTACTCCATACCGGTGTTGGCTGTCAGTACTACAAGAGTAGAAAAGTCCACCATTGGTTGTACTTAGTTCGCTGGAGTTGAGCCATTTTGTGTCACTTATTCCCAATATGTCGATTTTAAGTGGCATAATTTCTTGTTCTGTGAAGATAGTCTTAAATATACAGAAGGAAAGAAGACATATGGTAACAAGGACTAATAATGTTACATTCACTGCGATTACTAACACCAGGGCATACCAGGAAGAAATAGAGAGTAATCTACAGAAAGACCTGCAAGATGAAACCAGTATTGAACAGCTTAACGAAAAATTGGTAGAAGCCCTAAAGAAGTCACAGAAGAAGTGCCAAGCCAAGCACTCAACAAAAAATGAAAAACTCACAGAAGACACAAGAAACCTAATGCAAAAAGGAGGGAAATGAAAGAAAAGCATACAACGAACATTGCAGAGCTAAGGAATTTAAACAAAACCATTTCAAAAGCCATTAGGAAAGACATAAGGAACTTTAGCACTAAGGAATAACTGATACCGTAGAACAAAACAAAAGCCTAAAAGTTCTAAAACGAAAGTTGAAAATAGGAACGAGGAATATTTATAAGTTAAAAAATAATCAAAGGACATGTCATACATGAACAACAAGAGATACTAAAAATCATCGAAGAGTACTATAGAACATTATATAGTCGAGATGATCACATTCCCGAAGTAGAAATTCCAGCAATACTAAATCAAGGGTCAGAGGAACTTCCAGATATAACCGAAGAGGAAATTAAGTCAGCATTAAAGGTATGAAGAACAACAAAACACCTGGAGAAGATGGCATTGTAAGTGAAATGATAAAACTAGGAGGCGAATGCGTCATAAAGGCTTTAAAAACCCTTTATAATGCCTGCCTCTTTGAAGGAAATACGCCAGAAAAATGGAATAATGCCATTATGATAATATTGCATAAAAAAGGAGATGTAACAGAAATTGGCAACTACAGACCTATCAACTTATTATCTCATTTATATAAACTCTTTATGAGAATAATTACTAACAGACTGGGACCTAAGCTAGATTTTCATCAACCTCTAGGCAGGCCGGATTTAGGAGTGGCTTTGGAACAAATGACCACCTACAAGTAATAAAATTCTTGATAGAGAAAGTTATAGAATACAACAAGCCATTGATATTAATATTTGTAGACTTTGAGAAAGCATTTGACTCAGTCCAGCATAGCTCCATGTTAAGAGCTCTTACAGAGTGCAGTATTGACCATAGGTACACAACTCTTCTTCGAAATATATATGATAGCGCAACAGCTGCTGTAAAAATGTACTATGGTGACACAGACACATTTCCCTTGGAGAAAGGTATTAGGCAAGGAGACACTATCTCTCCTAAACTATTCACCGCCCTATTACAGAGTGCTATGAGAAAAAATAATTGGGAAAACATTGGATTAAATATAAATGGGGAATTTTTGAACAACTTGAGGTTTGCAGACGACATAGTCCTTATTGCAGATCAGGTAGATCATGCATGCCAACTTCTTCAAGACCTTCAGAGCTCTTGTGCACGAGTTGGCCTTAAAATTAATTTTTCCAAAACACAATACATGACCAACTGGTACTGGCAAAAAACATTTCCGCTAATGGCACGCAAATTGAACAAGTGTATTCCTATAAGTATCTGGGCCACGAGATTAAATTGGGAAGAGACAATCAAACAACAGAGTTAAAAAGGAGAATAGGACTGGCATGGGCAGCTTACGGAAAACTGAGGGAAGTCTTTAAATCAGCTATTCCCATGTGCTTGAAGAGAAAAGTTTTTGATCAGTGTGTACTTCCAGTTCTGACATATGGAGCAGAAACATTGACACTAACCAGAAAAGTAATTAATAAGATACAAGTGGCACAGAGAGCGATGGAGAGGTCAATGTTGGGCGTATCACTCAGGGACAGAGTTTCGAGTCAGATAGTAAGGAGAAAAACTGGTGTGACGGACGCAGTTGAAAGAATTACAACCCTGAAATGGAACTGGGCAGGACATGTTGCTAGGGTAAGAGATGGAAGATGGACAAAGAAAATTTTAGAGTGGAGGCCTAGACACGATGCTTATCGTAGTCGAGGACGTCCTCCAACAAGGTGGTCGGACGATTTAAAGCGCATCCAGTCTAACTGGATTCAAGTTGCTCAAGATCGGATGCAATGGAATTATTTACGGGAGGCCTATGTTCAGCAGTGGACGCAAACTGGCTGATGATGATGATGATGATGAATTTCTTGTTCTATGTTCCTTAGTTTACCAGGCTCATACATGATTCTAACATTCCATATCGCTATTTTAAAAGTTGAATTTTGTATTTTTAGTAGTATTAAGCCTTCCACACAGTCTTACTTTTCATTCCTTTATTAAACCTTTTCTAAGGTCGAAGTATACTTCATAATGCATTCAGGATTGTACTAGATCACTTGTACCGCATGCCCAAAAGTCTACGTAGGTCTTACAGGAAGAAGTTCTAAAAACGGATAACGGAACATAGAACTAGTTTGGTCAACAATAAAATCAATTTACTATCTGTCAAGTATTTGATTACAGGATTACAGAAGATTTAGTTATAGACATTGGGAGGTCTTCCTTATTGCATAATGGCAATTAAAATAAAGTAAAACAGTTATATAGTCGGCTACGTAGGTACACAAATTGTTAGCATTGAAAAGTGTTTCGTTTAAAATTAGTTTCCTTCGAGAAAGCTGATGTTTAAGCAAAACGTTTAACTGTGTAAATATGTAACTATATACTGTGGCAATTAAAAACAGTCTTTTGTTTTACCTTTTATCATTATTATTAAGCCTCGAAATTATTTATAGAGGTGGAACGAGTCAACTAGCATACCTGACAGTAAATAAAATCCTTAGGGTCTACTATTCCACTCTGACTGTCAATCTCCCTAAATTGCTTCTCCTTTCCGGTATTTATTTTCGAGAAATTTAATTTCTGGATCTCATATAATACACCGTTTTTCATTATATGTACTAGTCTGTTCCTTGAAAATTACTTTTTCTATCAAAAAAGGCCGACTATGATATAGTTAAAAGATGGATGTTGATTGATGTAACACCTCAAATATATTTTTCGTAAACTTTCATTATATATAGCAAAATACACTTTTGTAAATAAATGGTGAAATACTACCCAAAAAAGTAAATATTACGATTAAAATTAAACAAACAGACAGAGAGGAAATTCGAAAAAATAAATATTTGATTGGGCACAAAATATAACAAAAGTAAATCATATTTATTTTTCACAAACATGAAATTTTTTTAATTTAAAAATTTGCTATATTATAACTAAATTATAACAAAACGTACCTTTCTGATAATCGGCATAAACTTCGAAAGTCCGGACGCCAGTGTATTCTGCTTTTCCTCCAGCATACACTCCTTCCTGCTTATCCACGAGTAACCACTGGTGACCAATGAAGTTGAATGTTTCGTTGTATCGCCTTCCTTCTCCACCATCCAGTTCTAACGTAGCAGCTGAACCATATCTGCTTACCCTTGCCACGTGCCACTGACCATCATCAACTGGAACGGCACTAAGCCAAATATCTCGTTCTTCGGTTCTGAGGGAGTTTAAGTTATATCTGAAGTATAGTCTTGCATCTTTTATTTCCAGTATTGCATATTCGCGATTGTGCTGATCTGATATTCTGAATAGCTCACCGTGTTCTTCTCTTGTTCTAAATCTCAGTTGCATTTGCGTTGAAAAACGATCTGGTTCAAAACTAAGAGCGTACTTAACGTATGATTGAGGTTTGAAAGAAGTTGGCGTTGTTTTCGAAGTACATGATGGTCCAGTAAATCCTGGATGACAATGACATTTAGCTTCGTTAAAGCTTCCGACACACGTACCATGCTCCCAACATCGAGCTGTAGTTTCTGATCTACCACACACTTCTTCTGTTTGAGGACAACCAGGTACACTATGTCTAGAAAGACCAGGATGTGCCAGATCGTATAATTTGGAGTTGTGGAAGAGGTTTCGAATGCAACCGTCGAAGGATTTGCCTACAGGCATATATTGCCAGTGGTAGTGAGTCGGATCAAACTGTTCAACATATAAACCTCCAAGCTGTAGAGGTGCATTGACGTTTAGATACTCATTAAATGGAGGAATTGTACCTTGAGCTTGGCAGCTACTGTCGTCGAACTCCGGTGGAGTTCCATCTTCCATTTCGGCAATATCAGCTGACTTACAATAATCAACAACCATTCTTACATTTTCAGTATCCCAAAATACGTCCAATCTATGCCACTCTCCATCATCTAACGTCTTTTTGGTTTTGACTCTAAGTTCTAGCGTTCCAGATCCAAAGTCTAGAAGTAAACGGGGATAACCTCTTTCAAGTTCAACAGCTATATAATCTGATACCATGATTTCGTCTTTTTCAGGAGGCACAATTGGGCCGTTGTAAAGCAGTAATCCGTCTGGTTTGCGGGTAATAAACTCAAAGTGAAGATGTGATTTGTCGCACATTTCTAGAGCTGGATACCATGCCCAACCATTACCTCGGAAACTTCTTGAAGTTTGTTGACACCTTGGTCCATTATATCCCGCTGGACAAGAACAAGATAATGAATAGCGGGTTTCGATACATCTTCCACCATTATAACAAGGAGTGTTTCGGCAATTTTCTTCTTTACTGAAGTTTCTAGCGCCACAGGTACATTCAGCTAAAACGTCAACTCTAACCCCTACTAAAGCAGTTTTATTAGCATTCACCATGTACGGTAAGGCACTTATGTCTAAAGTGTTGGTACAAGATCCTTCACACATCTGATTTTCATACAAACACTCGTCGATTCCAACCATGGTTATGTTAATACCAACAGCTCTTTCGATTTCTTCTCTATGCATTAAGACTATGCCATTTAGTCTAACTGGTTTATAATAAGGTGAGCCATGAGCTGAGAATCTTACGTCGGTCACTGGAGGATGTTTTCGTCGTAATTGAACGCTGAACACATCGACGTTTTCTCGGTTTATGTTCAAAAGATCAGCTATTTTATCTCTGAACTTCTCAGCCATACTTTTTGATAAACTTTGAGAGTGATAATCCCATATTCTGATAAATTCTTCGTCTGTTATATCTGCTATTCGAACAGATCCAGAGTTTACTACTGCTTCATGAGGAATTTCTTTAACAGTGACCGTTACATTGGCTGCTACATCAGTTTGCGTATGTTTACGATCGTAAACTTTGAATCGTAAGTAGTATATGCCATCTCGAGTTCCAGACTTCATGGAAATCATACCAGTATCTTCGTTTAGCTTAAATCGAGGATGTTCTGGGCCTTCCCAGTAGAACTTTTTATCTGGCAGATCCCAATCATCTAAATCGTACACATAAACTCGTCCAATCTCTGTTTCGGGTGCTTGACCTTGATAGTTATATACAAATATTTCTTTGGAGCCTGGTTGCATTTTGTTGTCGTTGACATCGCCAATCACTACAGTTAATGTACTAGTGCCGGTCATCGCAGGGTTGCCGTGATCTTTAATAACGATTGGAATGTAGTATTCTTTCTGTTGTTCTCTGTCGAATGATCGAAGAGATGTGATGATAGCCATACCGTCACCATTTGCGCCCTCTGAAAAAAAACTGCGGATTAATATGTTGAATTATAATGTTAAATTGGAAATATTTTTAAAAAACTTTATACAAATTATCAGCTGTTAAATAATATATTTTAAAAATTGTATAGAGAATATTTATTTTTTGATATTCACGTGTGCAACTTTGAATTTATGAATTAACGTAAACGATCTTATTTTCGACATTGCCACAATTATCGGCAGTAATTCTACATAATCGACAAAAATGAGAATTCTTGTGCGTGATTGATGGACGAAAGTATTTCACTAATTTATAAGGACCTTTATCTACGCCTATGAACAATATGCCAATTGTCAGACGAAAGCTGCAATCACAAAAATATATTGGTCAGTTGGCGCCAAACTCTTGTGGGAAGTGTTTCTTGTTGTTTGTTTTAAGAAACAGGTAAGCCACAGAATGCTATAATTCCTGATTAAAATATCGAATAATCGTTTTATATATTGAGAAATAGTTAATTTTGACTATTTGTAGGCCAAAAACTGTTCTCTAGCTTTTTGCACTCTTTTGTGGGTGCCCATAATAGGTACGTAAATATTAGCAGATGATCCAATCATCGGCTGGAGCTGGAGTGCCGATAATTGGTTATATGCATTATACTACATATAAGCTGATTTTAGCGTAATCTTTTAACCTACTAGGACAAATGTTTGGTCATTATATGCAATAAAAATGTTTCCTGGTACCAATTTTCGACATCCCGTATCTCTAGTAGAAATAGCCATAATTTGACCAAGTATAACACTGCCGATAATACATGCCTATACGTGCCGATAATTGAAAATTCTTTGTTTTAGACTACAATTCAGAAATTAGCAATGGAAAAGAGAAAGCGAATTCAATATTCTGCGGAAGATATAAACAAAGCTGTTGAAGCTGTTCAGTCAGCAATGCCATTTTAAATAGCTAGCAAGTTGTATAAGGTACCCAGATCTACTCTGGAAAGCGAAGAACTTCTTTAGATAAGAAATCTGGACCAGGGACCACACTAACAGAGGAAGAAGAAAACCTACTGGTAGCATGGCTATTTTGGATTGCAGCCTTGGATTTCCTGCAACAAAATCGCAGTTGTTGGATAGTGTTCAGCTATTGCTTAAAGAACTTAATAGGCCTAATAATTGGTATTGGCCTCGTGGATGGTAGGCCTATACGTAAATGGTACGAACTATTTTTAAAAGGTATCCGAACTGTCTACAAGAATTTCCAAAACCTAACTTGTGCTAAAACACTATAACAGAAAATCGAATTCGTCAATGTTTTATCGGCATTTTTTCTGACTCCTAAGAGAGACAAAGTGTTGGTTAGGAAGGGGGATAGAACAGTTTATTCGTTTGTAAGCAACGACGAGAAGGAATGTCTGACAACTTTGGTTACCTTACATGCCTCCGGTCAAATTTTACCACCCATGATCGTTTTTAAATATACAAGAATTCCCAAATCAGTTATAGAGAAAATACCCGCTCACTGGGGGGTAGGAAGGTCTGAAAATGACTCAATAACTCGCGAAAACTTTTTTGAGTTAATCGCTAATATATTCCACCCTTGGATAGTTGCTCAAAAAGTGCAGTATTGAAATATAAATTAGTGCAAAAAAACTGATTTTTTGCAAATAACTTTGTAAATTATTTATCAATTTTAATTTAAAAAACGGGAAAATAAAGATACTCTTGATATAAAAAATGATATAAATATTGTTTATGTAAAATAAAGGGAAAAACTTATAGACAAAAAATCAAATTGTGACCATAAATTATTGTTTAAAAAAAACGCAGGGTAAAAATACGAGTACCTTTTGATCTATTCGTCATCTAGTAACCCCTACCTATGTCTTAAAAACTTTAGATATCTGCGAAAAATTTTGCCGTGAAATCGATTATTTTTGCATAACCAGACTGGCCTACTTAGTCTTAGACTCTTGGACAGAAAACGAGAAAACGAAAACCATTTAGTAACACACAACAACGCAAGGGATATGCATATCCGATACATTTCTTATAAAGTAAACTCGATAAAAATACACTAGCCATTATAAGGCAGTGCATTTGTATCGGTTTTTTATCGGTGTATTTTTTGTTGTTGAATTAAAAATAAAAGCGCATTTCTTTAAAAAGATAAAACAAAAAGACATACTCTTATTAAAAATAAAAAATAATTCCTAATAAAATAAGAAATAACTTATGCCTTACAGAAATGATTCAAATATTTGACCTTCTACTGCTGAATGGTATCCCAATCTGTCATAAAAACTTCTGCGAATAGATGTAAGATGTAAAATCGTAACCCACGGTGGTAAATGCCAAACGGCTTAACGTAGGATGATGTGTGAGGTGTCGTTGGAAAGTAAACTTGACATTTTAGCTTTAAAGCACAAGCCTCGATTTTCTTAATGGCTAAATTTTAGCTCGAACTGTTAATAAATTTTTTTAAATTTTTATCTATTTTTAATAATCTTCCTCCGAGTGAGGTGAATATTACTATTTGGTTTTGTTTCCTGATAAAATTCTTAATATTTTTAAGTTATTTAAGGTTTATTCGCTCTTTTGTAAATTTCTGTGTTTTTTTTAAGATCAACCTTACTTTTCTCTATTCTTCTCGCGAAAAATAAAGAAGGTTTTTTAGCTTGGGCACCCCTCTGTGGATACACTGAATACGGAAGGAATTTTTTTTCACAAACCAAAGCGGGCAAGTTTCCACTATGTGGTTGTTTCTAGTTTATTTCGACTCACACATCCAAAATTCAAAATCTCAGAAATTGAAACGTATGCACAAGCAAGATCTTAAAGAGTGTTTGTGAACCCGTACATCGATGAGTGGAGAACCTGTTCACCAGACCAGAACCCAGAAGAATGCTTCTAAGATCTCGCGCTATAGTGCCATCATCTTCTAGTATGGATTTATATTTTTATTTCAAAATAACTTAAAATTTCTCTTTAGTTCCGTTTCTTTGGGCGATCCACCATATTCACATTCCTCATCGAGTCAAATTTTTCTCTTTGGTCCCGTTCTCTGTTTTAAGCATAATAGTAGAAAGCAGACTAACAGCGGTAAACAAATTACGAGCTTTATATTACCCTATTTTAAAGAACTCAAGGTCAAGAAGTCAATTTATTCACAAAACTATTCCTTGTAGTTGTCTGGCTCATTATTTTCTGCTGCATCTGTCTAAATCTTCTTATAAAAATATAATAATTACATTAATACCAAAGGAACTCCATTTCCTGCATCTCATTTAAAGCAGCTTTAGACATTCTTGTTAATATTCACTAGACAGAATAATTACCAGTTAATGTGCCATTGTCTACTTAACTTAAACCTCTTGCTGAAACTTTTTACCTTTAACCAAAGTTTTCTTGAAGTTTAAATAAGTTTTCGGAGCTTCCGTGAACTTTACGACCATAAAATTAATTGAATTTCTAATTAGTCCGATGTTTCAATATTTAGGTCAAACGATATTGTTTAATTTTTTAACTGCACTTAATTGTCAAGCTTTCTAATTTTTTAATAATTATGTTAACTAAATATATTCCTCTAAATAAGCGGATCAATTTTTTGAGTAACTAATCTTCTTGACAAAGTAATATACCTAATTTTTTCTATTTGAGATATCTATCTCTATCTAATTAGCCTTCTTCGGTCCATCTTTGGGCAAAGGCCTCCTCAATCCTTTTCCATTCTTCTCTGTCTGTCCCTACAGTCATCCACCTAGAGCTCACGTGCTTCTTGATATCATCTGCCCATTTCATTTGGGTCCTTCCTCTGCTTCGTTTATATTCCCACGGTCTCCAACTTATAATAATTTAAAAATGGGTACATTTATTTAAACACCCTTAAAAGGGCCACATCAAAAAAACAAACGTTTTCGGACTAAACAGTCCATACTTACTTACTTACTCCGTGGCGTTACAACCCTTCGTGGGTTTTAGCCGACTCGACAACATGCCTCCACTGTTTTCTATCTTGAGCAACCTCCATCCAATTCTCCACGCCCATAGTGCTTAGGTCTCCTGCTATATTATCTCGCCACGAAGACGAGGCGTCCGCATGGTCTCCTTCCAGTTGGGACTTCCTCCCACACCAGTCTTACTGTTCGTTCATCAGAATGTCTTCTGAGGTGTCCTGCCCATTGGAGTCTTCTGGACTTTATTTCTTTTATGATGTTGTGTCTGGGTAAAGTTCTTCAAGCTCTTTATTAGTTCTTATCCTATATTGTCCTGATGCTTCATCAAGCACCGGACCAAAGATCTTCCTTAGGATTTTTCTTTCCCAAACACGTAGTCTCTCTTCATTTGCCTTTGTCATCGTCCACGTTTCGCTTCCATACATCACAACGGGTCGTATGATTGTTTTATAGACCTGTATCTTCGTACCTCGTGTTAGTTGTTTTGATTTTATAAGGTTTTGGAGGGCAAAAATACATCTGTTGCCGGCCTGAATCCTGTTGTTTATTTCTTGTGATCCGTTATTGTCTTCAGTTATTGCTGTTCCAAGATACTTGAATTCTCTAACGCGCTCAAAGTTAAAGTCATCGATGGTAATGTTCTGACCGATTCTGTCTCTGCTTTGGTTATTGCGGCTCATATACATATATTTCGTCTTATTTTCGTTGATTTGGAGCCCCATCTTCCCTGCTTCCTTCTCAAACCTTACGAAAGTCTCCTTCATCTTTAATCGCGTGTTTCCTATTAGATCTATATCGTCTGCAAATGCCAGTAGTAAGTTTGGTCCTTCTCGATGAAATACTGTATTCGGTTTTTCGATTCTTGCACTTCTGATTATGTGCTCCAGAGCTAAGTTGAAGAGTTGTGGTGAAAGTGCATCTCCCTGTTTTAGTCCATTGTTTATTTCAAATGTCTCCGAGTATTGTTGTCCAACTCTCACCTACATCGTAACCGTTCCATACACATTCGTATCAACCGGACTAGTTTTTTTGGAAAGCCAAGTTCCTGCATCGCTGTCCACAGTCTGTCCCTACATACT